TTATATTATTAATGCTGTGCATATGTATTACACTTAATTCAGTGAGGGGAAAGGGTACTTCCACTTTATGAGATAATAGATATTAATAGGAAGAAATTGTAATGAAAAATGTTGTTTACATTCCATAAATGAATTTTGTTTTATTATTCATACAACATAAAACATACTAACTAACCCCTGCCCAATACCAGAATTCACCATTGCAGATTCCTGATTGAAGGCCATCCTGTCTCTTTTAAACATCTCCAGCAAAAGTGTGTCCATTTCTCTTATAAGGATGGAACTCTTGGTTACCAAGTAGATATATTTCACTTTGTCTCTATTTCCTAAAACTTTATGCCCAGGGTTGGAAACACTAATCTGATCAATGCAGTGGCTTTAGTAAGTACTAGCAACTAAGAATTCCATCCTTAAGAAGTGAATATCCATTTAAATCCTCAGCATTAAGAGGAAAGAAAATTCAATAGCTAAGGAAAATTTCTATAGACTCTTCTTTAAGAAAATGTATCTGTGCAGTGTATTCTTAATCTAGCAAATAAGAGGCTGGGGTTATCTTTATTGGGCTAATATTTGGGGAGGATCAGTCTCCCCTTTTACTAGAATCTATTTTCAGATTCCAAACCAATATCCACTGAAAAGTAAAATAGCCCTATAAAAACATAATGCTTACTATTTCTGATGATCCATCAAATTACCAATAAACCCAACACATCCTAAAATTAAGTCCTATGGGCTACTGCTTATACTATCCTTGTAGAAAAATAAAGTTTGCCACGTGATTCACTTAAAGGGGTTAATAGTTGCTTTTCCTTTCCACCATCCATATGGAAGTCCATTCAATTTGAACATGAATGAGTAGATTTCCTCATAAGATTGGGGGCAGTGAAATAATTTACAGTATAATTTAAATCCTTCAAGTGTTTTCCAGTAAGGAACTGACTAGAAGTTAATAAGTATTTTTTCTTCTTTTTGAATTAAAGAAGGTGTGTGTGGCTATTTCAGCCAACTGCTATTAACTTTAGGACTTAGTAACATATAGGGCTTTGAGAAAAAAAATGTGAATTACATCAATGTCTGTGTATGCCTCTGTATGGGCCTGTGTGTTTTACTTAATACGTTCTGATTAAATAAGTTCAAAATAACACATATTCTCTCTTAGACACATTATCCTCCTTGCTGTCTTGTACAAGATCACAAGGTTTCCCCTCTTAGTGAATTGCTCATACATCTCAAATTTATCATGTTGGAAGATTTGGAAGGCAACCCCTTAAATAGGAATCCAAAGCTGGTAAACCCCAGATGATGCTTACCCTTTTGTAACCATTCTGAACCATGATGTCTTTTTAAAAATGCATTATTATGTTTATTAGAATTATTAGGTTATAAAAGATCAGAATATATTCTGTGACTATGGAAATCATGATCTACCAGCCGATGTTTTCAGTTTAAAGGTCTGAATATTGGATGGGACATTTTTAATACTGAGTGTAGTATCATCAGTATGGAATAGAATATTTTAAACAAAAGAGGGGTTCAAATATTTAAAGAGGTTTGTGGTGGCACTGGGCTACATGAATGTACTTGAAATCGCAATTTCTGAAAATTCTGGACAACCTAGTTAAAAAAATGTAGTTAAATGTAGTTAACAAAATTAGGAATAATACAAAAAATAGTAATCGTGGAAAGGTAGAGAAATAGAAAAGATTCTAATAGAAAGAAAGCTTGAAATGATTCATTAAATGGTGGTTGTAGGTTGTTTTCATGGTGAAATAACTTGAAAATTACCTATTCAAAAGCTGCTGCTGTGTTTCAAAGTTATCCCATATTCTATTTTTGGGAAGATGAGGTAGGAGTCTAAGTACTAGCAATGCCATTGTAAGCAGCCTAGGATTCACTGAAAAGTACCTTCAAATTAATGCTGAAATTTCTTATTCTTTAACGAATAAGAACAAAATTGGAAAAGCCATTTCACAAGCTTTCTTCTCCTCTCTTGTTACTAGTTCACTTTCAAATACGTTAGATTAAACCACAAACATTTCCCATTCCTCTTTCTGAAAAGAAGGTGACTATAAGTAGCCTTTGGCAGCAGGACTATTGTTTTTTTTTTAATCAGTTTACAATTCTACCTGCTAAACCTCAAACACTAGAATTTTATACCTTGAGAATTCACTGTGTTTAGGTGACTGAAATCTGACTGCCATCCAGTGCATATCGAAACATGCTTAAACCTGAGTGATTTTAAACTATTTGAATACCGTAGTCCTGTACAGAAATACTCAAGAGAATTTTGAAATCCACATATCATAAAGGAATTAAAGTTGGCAAAGAGTAATTTATACCCATGAAACTCATTGAGTAAACTTTATAAATTAGCCTAACGCATATCTTTAAAATGTTTATATATATATTTGTTTTCGTAGATTTTCACGGGTGTAGGTATGCTGGTCTTCTTGTATTCGGGTATTTTCCCGTGTAAGATTGAGATTCTCTTGGCAACATTTCAGCAAGGTCTCACTTGCCATCTTCTGGCTGGGTTTTGGACTTAAAGTGTCATTTTAAGCCCCAAACCCATATATATATGTACATATACATATACATATACATATACATATACATATACATATACATATACATATACATAT